CTGTAATTCAGAGCACTTGATCCTTTTTGCCTTTTCGAGATTGAAAAGTTGATACGACAGTCATGGGTACTAATGCAACATCCAGTTAATTACCCCAACGTTAATGGCTTCAAATGTGAAAGTAATCACAGCATAGGAGAACATCTGACAGAAAATAGTATTTGTTATATACCATCATTCTCATTCTGTCCTCAAGAGCTCAAGTGAGTTAGTACTATAAAGCCCCTGAATATTAACAGCTATCAACACAGATCTGTGATATACATTAGCCTTATTAGATCTTACTTTTACAAAGAATCCTTTAAATCCTTTCTTCTTAGCCAATCTAGCATCAAAAGCAAACAAATAGAAAGCATCCTTTAGCAGGATCAGAAAAATTAGACAAATTGTAAAACTAAGATATCAAAATCTTGTGCTATCATTTCATAACTGCTTGGATAAATAATATAACTTATCATTTAGTAAAGAAGAAAATTTAGTTCAAAATTCTTTTTCTCTGGTTAATTATCAGAGAAATAATTTATTAGTACATCTCCTTTTGACTCTCAGACTACTCAATAATATAAATATTTTATATAGACAAAAGATATAATGGAGAATAACAATTATTAGTTTGTTGAATTTTTAAATACACAGATAAATAGGAGTAAGGTTCTACTTCTTGACAGATAAATAGAATCAAGAATTACAACTCAAAATTTATATGATATTTTTAACAATGTGTAAATGTGTCAATTTTTTTTACTTTTATAAATATTATATAACTCTTAATCTAAAAATAAAATTTTTATTCTTTTTTATATTTTTCTTCAAAATAACTCCCAAATATAACTTTGACGTATGTTTTCTTGATGAGTGTTACCACTAAATTTGTCCAAAGATTTTTGTCACTGAAACTTTGATAAAGAGTAGGCAAAGTAAAATTTAACAACATGTTTTAATTAAAAGAATTAAAGAAGTTAAAAAAAAAAAAACTCATGGCATGAACTATTTGTTTTAATTAAGAAAGAAAAAATTTAGAAGCAGAGTTTCTAGCTACTATGCACCTGTTCAGTTGCCAGAATAAGACTATGATAAATAAGACAAGAGAATTGAATAATAATAGGATAAAAGTATGACAAATTTTTATCATATCATGTAGAATTTATAAGTCTATCTAATATTTCAAGAATTAGATAACTTTTACATTTATGATGTTAAAAAGTAAAATGACTCAAAATATTGTCAATGGATAGTTGAGAAAAATAAAATTAACGAACAACCCAAGCCAACCCTGTTGTGCTTTTTAATGTTTACATTTTGAATGCTTATTTTTCAATAATCACTCATTCGCTGATATATAATTTTGGAATGCATATAGTAGTTTATTACAACAATCAAAGGATTACAAATCTGAAAGAAACAAGTTCGCTGGAGTAATTTTGGAATGCATATATATAACTGCATTTGATTGCAACATTTGTCAAAAAATAATGAACTATCTAGTATAATATTTTATTTCTAAAATGGTTATGGGGAGTTCAGCAGTACTCATCAATCATCTGTGCATTTAATGCTTGTACTGACTTTGAAACTGTTTTCCCAAAAGAAAAAACGATAAGACACACAGAAGCCTAAAGCCAATGAAATAATATAACAGTGTTTGCCATTGATTATTGCAAAAAAACGTCTCTTTCTTAATTTGAGTCATCAACTTCTGAATTTTGCAAAACAGGGGTGTTCATGGGTTGGTTTGATTTGATTTTTACTGGAAAAAGTCATTTGAACCGCATATAGAAATATCATGTAATTTTGTTCTGTTAAATTTGAATATAGTTTGAAAATTGAACTGCAAAATATCAGTTCAGATTGAATTTATTTTTTTAAAATTTTTATTTATCATTAAACTATTTTATTTTTTAAAAATTTATTTTTTATTATAAGATTTTTAATCTATTTCTTAACTTTAGAACAAATAGTAGCTTAAAAATTGAAATGACTTTATTAAGAAAAATGAAAAATAGAGAGAAGAAATTATGATTAAAAGGATAATATTACAAAAAATATTGATAGAAAAAAAGAAACAAAATATATTCAATTGGAAAAAAAAAGAGAATTTAAAGTTAATAGAAATGATGCACTATATATTTATACAATATTATGATAAAATTGAGTAAAAAATGATTTATATAAAAATACAATTAAAAATAATATTATAAATTTATTATAAGTGCAACTTATTTCAATTTTAAGATAAGAAATTTAAAATTGAATCAAACCACGATATAAAATGTGATTCTGTGATTTAATTGAATTAATTTTTTTATGATTGATTTAGTGTTTTGAAAATGATTTGGTTAGATTTTGAACACTAGTAAGGTAAAAGCTATCAATATGTATATAAAAGCTTGCGAATATTAACAATTGACTATGGTAGACATTTATAACTAAGGTAAAATCTAGATTTATTTGCTTGGAAGTTTTTACTTATTAGTGATGTGCAATATTGAGTATTAGGAGCATGTCTAACTTTGGGAATTACTTGACTTTCTCCTCTCTAGTGGACAAGTCAAAAATGAAAATCTCAACTTTATCCTAAAGAAAATTTAAAATAAAATGACTTTCTTGAAAACTAAACTCTTAAATAAAGTTACAAGGTTTGCTTGACAACGTTATTGTTGTCTATTATTCTAATTTATATAATATATAACTTTTTTGATATCTACAAGTTGTATATGATAATATTGAAAAATTACTTACATTAACTATTTGGTCTAAGAATGAGGAGAAACATTGTTAGAAATAAGTCAATTAGAGCACAATTATTCGAAACAAAAATTAGTGTGAAAGTTGTTGCTTAATAGAGATAATTTATGGGTCTCTATCCTTAGTTATAAGTATCTAAAGGACCATTCAATTATTTCTATCTCTGTGGATAACAATTCGTCATTTATTGAAAAGGTATTATTAAAGATGTTTATGAGTGTGAATAACCAATTTTATTCACTTCCCTATTCTAAATAATAATAAAAATAATAACAAAATTCAAAATTAAAAAAAATCAAAGATAGTGGGTAGTTTTTTTAGAAAGTTAGATGAGTGGATAGGGGAGTAAATGAAAATTTACAAAGTGGTTATCCAAAAATACAGAATTGAAGAGAAAAGAGTAGCTTAAAATAATAATAATAATAATAATAATAATAAATAAAAGAAAATAGAAAGGAGAAATAAAATGGGAGTAAGTGTACTTAGAAGGAAGACAAATTCAAAATGCATGTTCTTAGAAAATGGAACTTATTCTTTGAGGGAAAACATTATATTCTACTCAATTTTTTAGAGAAAATATTATTTTCAAACCAAGAATAAAGAGAGGAATTGAAAGAGAGATCAACGGGTCAAAAACTAGAAAGGCCAAAATTAAAAATAGAGAACAATGGTTAGAGAGCAAGCAAGAGCACTTAACAAAAAAATACATATCATCTTTTCCATCCCTTTATTTTTTTGCTTGTGTAATTTTTCTTGCATTGTGTTTTATCATTTATTCACACCCTCATTCTTATTCTCTATTGGTTCTTTTTCTTAACACAAAAATATTCAAAAAAGATATTTCTATTTTTGAAAAAAAAAACTTTCAAGAAAAAAATGAAATAAAATTTTATCATCTTTGTGGAGCTAATAAAAAATCGATTCCCTTTGTCTGTGTTATTGTGTTTTGTCTCATTGTTTCCTTTTTTCGCAAGTTCTTGTATCCTTGATTCTAGGAGTGCATTCTAGAATTTGTTCATACTTTTCTCTTTTAATTTATCTTTTTGATATTTAAGAAAACCTAAACAAAAAAATAGTTGAATCTTAATGGATTATGCTTGAGTCAATCATACAATAAACTTTTGATATTTACAAAATTTTAGCCAATGTCGATTTTTAGGATTTTAAGTTTGAATGATTTTTTTTTCTAATTCTTTAATAATAATGTAAAATACGAAAAAAAGAAGAAGACATTTGCATATTAATTTACCTTTATACATTTTTTTTGTTACTGTCATGTTTTATCATTACTAATTTAGTAATCCATGAAATGCACAATTTTATTTTATTTATCTAGATCACAAGTGTATTTAACACAACTACATTTATTGAGATTCGAATTCAAGATAGAGTATTTCTCTCCACAAAGTTAATCTAAAAGAGAAAAATATTATCTTTGTATAATGTAAAATTTATCAATTTAATCATTAAGTTATATAATATTTTCTTTATAATCATGTATGTCAATTTTTAATTTACATTTTGGATATTTATAGGTATATTATTTAATAATTGATATTCACTTATTTTTTTTAAAAATATAAAACATTAAAATAAAGTAAGTTGATAAATATTTATTAGTACTTTTTTAATGAAATTTTATAAATTTAATCAAATTCATAAAAAATTTCAAATAAATGATTAAATTGATAAAATTCATACTCTATGAAAACATAAAATAATTTTAAAAAAATTTCAATGAAAAATATATTATTCATATCCTATTTCATTTTATTTATTTCTTCTGATCAAAACAATACATTAAGTTATTGTGAGGCATGACAAATTACAGGTTCTACTCCTCACTCATTTCTTTAAAATTGTAATAAATATTTGAGAAGCAGAGTTTCTAACTACTATGCACCTGTTTAGTTGCCAGAATAAGACAATGATAAATACGACAAGAGAATTGAATAATAATAGGATAAAAGTATGTTAAATTTTTATCATATCATGTAGAATTTATAAGTCTATCTAATATTTCAAGAATTTGATAACTTCTACATTTATGATGTTAAAAGTAAAATCACTCAAAATATCGTTTTTAATGTTTACGTTTAGAATGCTAATTTTCAATAATCACTTATTTATGTTAAATATACTTAAAATGAAAATATTCACCGAAGAAATTTTGTTAAAAATATAGTCTGTAAGTAAGAAAGTGCGTTGAAAGATGCTGTTACAACGATGTTCACGCGCTTAAAGAGCGTGTGTTAAACCAAGACGTTGACTAGACTTGAGCACCATAATACCTCAAATTTTCATCACCACATGTGCATCACGTTCAGCATTTAGCAAGAGATTTAGAGTTGTGATACAGTTTGCAAAACAAGAGAAGAAATGGCCTTGGCTATGGTGGGAGAGGTACTTATCTCTGCTTCTGTGCAGATCTTGTTAGATAGAGTAACTTCTACAGAGTTTCGAGATTTCTTTGCCAGTAGGAAGCTCAGTGTTTCTCTGTTAGATGAGCTGAGGATTAACCTGCTGGCACTTAATGCTGTGCTCAATGATGCTGAGGAGAAGCAGATCACTGATCCTAATGTGAAGGAATGGCTTGATGAGTTGAAAGATGCTGTCTTGGATGCAGAAGATTTGTTGGATGAAATCAACACTGAATCTTTGAGATGCAAGGTGGAGGGAGAATCTAAAAGCTTTACTACCCAGGTGAGATCATTATTTTCTTCCTCCTTTAATCAATTCTACAAGAGTATGAATTCCAAACTTGAAGCAATATCTGTAAGGCTAGAACATTTTGTGAAACAGAAGGATATTCTTTGTTTGCAAAGTGTTTCTAAGAGAGTCTCTTATACCAAAATTACAGATTCGTTGGTTGACCCTGTTGTGGTCGCTAGAGAGGATGACAAAGACAAGTTACTGAAAATGCTTCTATCTGATGATGATGAGAGTAATAGTAATATAGAAGTAATGACAATATGGGGCATGGGGGGTTTGGGCAAAACAACCCTTGCTCAATACCTCTATAATGACAACAAAGTGCATGAATATTTTGATTTGAAGGCTTGGGCATGGGTGTCTGATGATTTTGATGTTTCAAGGGTAACGAAGAAAATTATTGAGTCTATCACATCTAAAGATTGTAATATTACAAATCTAGATGTTCTTCGCGTTGAACTAAAGAACAACTTAAAAGATAAGAAGTTTTTGCTTGTGCTTGATGACCTTTGGAATGATAAGTATAACGACTGGCATCACCTAACAGCTCCTTTCAGTAGTGGGAAAAAGGGAAGTAAGATCATTGTGACAACCCGACAACAGAGAGTTGCACATATCACACATACACTTCACATTCATGAGCTGAAGAATCTAACCGATGAAAATTGTTGGCAAATACTGGCAACTCATGCATTCGGAAACGAAGGTTATGACAAATATCCGCACCTTGAAGAAATTGGTAGAAAAATTTCAAGAAAATGCAATGGCCTACCATTAGCTGCTAAAACTTTGGGAGGTCTTCTGCGATCTAAAGTTGATGCAGAGGAATGGAACAGAATTGAGAACAGTAACTTATGGGCACATGACGATGTTTTACCAGCTTTACGCATAAGTTATCTTCATCTTCCAGCCCAATTGAAAAGATGTTTTGCCTATTGTTCAATTTTTCCAAAACAGTATTTGTTGGATAGGAAGGAGTTAATTTTGTTATGGATGGGTGAAGGCTTTCTGCAACAATCCAAAGGAGGTCAAGCAATGGAATCCATATTCAATGAATTATTATCGAGATCCTTGATTGAAAAAGACAAAGCTGAAACAGAGGAAAAATTTCGAATGCATGACCTCATTTATGATTTGGCTAGACTTGTATCTGGAAGAAGTTCTTGCTACTTTGAAGACGGTGAAATCCCAGGAACTGCTCGCCATCTATCATTTCTTAGACAGTATTATGACATTTCTAAAAGATTTCAGGGCTTGTATGACCTAAAGTTTTTGCGCACCTTTATACCGCGATCTCTATATCGTCGTGAATGTTACTTGACCAAATCAGTGTTGCATGGTTGGTTGCCAAAACTAAGTTGTCTGAGAATACTGTCACTTTGTGGATACAAAAATATCGTTGAGCTGCCTGATTCAATGGGCATCTTGGTGCTTCTGCGGTATCTTGACCTTTCCTCTACTTCTATCAAAAGGTTGCCCCATGCAACCTTCAAGCTTTACAATTTACAGACTTTGAAATTGTCAAATTGTAAATATCTTGTTGAGCTACCAGCACAGATAGGAAATTTGGTCAATTTACGACACCTTGATATCAGTGACACAAATTTAACGGAGATGCCAACACAGATATGCAGACTGCAAGATCTCTGTACATTGACTTCCTTCGTTTTAGGCAAAGAAGATGGGTTAAGGATCAGTGAATTAAGAAAATTTCCCTATCTGCAGGGTAAGCTTTCCATTCTGAAGCTGCACAATGTTTTTGATCCTAGGGATGCATTTCAAGCCAACTTAAAGAACAAAGAGCAGATTGAGGAGCTTATGCTGGAGGGGGACAGAGACCCACAAGATTCACAAGTTGAGAAGGATGTACTTGACAACCTGCAACCATCGACGATGTTAAAGAAACTGAGCATCAGATACTACAATGGCACAAGTTTCTCAAATTGGCTGGGTGACTCTTCATACCGTAATATTCAAGTCCTGTGTATCAGTGACTGCAACTATTGCCTGTCACTTCCACCGTTTGGACAATTACCTTCTCTTAAAGAGCTTGTCATTAAAAGGATGAAAATGGTGAGGACAGTTGGTCAAGAGTTCTACTGCAGCAGTGCAAGCTCCCAATCTTTCGAGCCATTTCCATTGTTGGAAAGTCTTGAGTTTAAAGAGATGTCAGAGTGGGAGGAGTGGCTACCATTTGAAGGTGAAGGTAGCAAGTTTCCTTTTCCGTGCCTGAAGCGTTTGCATTTATCCGAATGTCCCTTGTTGAGAGGAAACTTGCCCAGTCGTCTACCTTCGTTGGAAGTGGTTGATATAGCAGGGTGCAACCAGCTGGAGGCAAAATCATGCGATGTGCAGTGGAATACATCAATTGAAGTGATGAGTGTTAGAGAAGGGGGAGAGGGGTTGTTGTCTTTGCTTGACAACTTGTCTTGTCGTCAACTATCAATTGTAAAGTGTGACAGCTTGCAGTGTTTGCCAAGAATGATTCTCAATGCCAATTGTCTTCAACGCTTGAATCTTTCAGATATCAAGTCTTCGATTTCCCTCACAACTGATGGTTTGCCCACGTCATTGCAATCACTTGACATCTCTAACTGTGAGAAGTTAGAATTTGTGTGTGATGAAAGATGGCACAAATACACATCACTTGAATACCTGGTAATCACGGAGAGTTGTGATTCGCTCATGTCCTTTCCGTTAGATTGCTTCCCAGCTGTTCGAGGCCTTCAGTTCTATGACTGTCCCAACTTGGAAGCAATTACTGATAAAGGTGGAAGGGCCTCTCCTAATTTATTAAAGCATTTAAATGTCGTTCATTGTAAGAAACTTAGGTCACTTCCAGAAGAGATGGATCTTCCTGCCCTTCGATACTTGTGGCTTCATGATCTTCCGGAGTTAGCGTCATTGTCCCCAAGGTGGTTGCCTTCCAGTCTACAATATCTTGATGTCAATGCTGGAATATTATCATGTATGTCTAGACAAGAGTTAGTTTGCCGATTCCAACGCCTCACTTCTCTGTCACGTCTTGATCTCAATGGGAGTGGTTTGGGGATGAAGAAGTGGTAAACACCTTGCTGAGGGAGCCATCACTGCCCACTTCTCTCACGTATCTACGGCTGTGTAAATTTGATGGTTTAAGGCGGTTGGAAGGGAAAGGGCTTCAACATCTCACTTCTCTGAAAAAGCTTCGGATCTCCGAATGTGGAAGCCTCGAGTCATTGCCAGAGGAACAACTGCCATCGTCTCTCGAAGTACTGAGGATAAGGAAGTGTCGATTGCTAGAAGAAAGGTATGGAAAAGAGAAAGGGAAACACTTGACAAAGATTGCTCACATTCCTGTCGTAGAAATAAACGATAAAGTCATAATAATATGAGGGGCTGCAGGGCAGGCAGGAATCATCCAAAGGTATGGCCTTCAAATATTCTTATGAAAAACAATAACTAACGTAATTTAAATATAAATTATTTTTTATTTTCTAAGCACCGAGCCAAGTCCCAACAAAATAAACTTTTTGTGTTATTTACGGATCAACCTTTTGTGTTAAATCATGTTCGTGTAATTAATGTATTTAAATTAATTCTTATGGATAATTTTAAATAACTAAAAATCATTTTTTATTAAAAATACTATATATATTAATTTATTGTCTTATTGCCCTTTTTTTAATTCAAAATTGTAAATAATTCAAATGATTTATTTACAAACTCATGTACAATTTGATTCAATTAAATGAATTGTTATTTTGTAAAATTCTGAAACATTTTCTATAACAAACCAAGTGTTTTTATTGTATCTTTTTGTACTAATTTATTGATAATATTGTTTTGTTTTTTGATCAATACAGTTGGTAAATTAGCTTGCGATCATGTTCATTTGAAGCTTTCAACCATACTATCACATTGTTCTTTCACTGATAAGCGACATTGGAGGAGCTCAACCCTTTTATATATGTTATAAAATTTATCAAAACCAAGGGTTTGTTTGAGGTTAATATCATGTATTGGATTCTTTTATGAACAGACTGCAATGAATTATTTATGATGTTTTTGTGGTATCATCCAAACCTAGATTTTGCATTGGAGTTTAAAGGTAATTTATTAGTGTTTTCATGCAATAAATTGCTATTCATATTCTTTTGTCTCATTTTACTCCAAATCTATTTCAAAGTGTTAGTTAAAATTAAAATTATAATGTATAATTTAATGATATTTTTGTGATTACTCTTTAAGGTTTAAAGTCTAACTTTGATAATTCAATAGTGAGCTTAATTTGATGTTTAAAAGATAAGAAAATTTTATTATGACAGTCAGTTATCATTATATATTGATATTAACGTATTAAAGACAAGAATATAAAAAATAAAAATTAGTTTGAGTGATTATGATATTATTATATTATAATTCAATTCAATGTATTTAGTGAATAACTGGGTGGAATGCTTATTCAAATGCAAGGAAAAGATTATTTCGTATTTACTTGAATTATTTTTACTTTTTTTATTTTAATATTATTTATATATATTGCCTTGTATTGGTAGAAAATTAAAATAATAAATAAATCCATAATTTGATCTTTTAAAATTTAGAATGATATTGCTTTTAATTTTTTGTAAAAAAAATTGTTGTTAAATTTATAATATTAAAATGTATTTATCATATTTCTTATTAACACATTTTACTAAATTTGTATTTTAAAAATATAAAATTGTTAGCAAAATTTGTCTATGCAAGGGATTAAGGTGATGATAAAAATTTTAGTGATAATTTTATATGCTTAAAAGATTAATTTGATAAAAACTAACAAATAATTGGCCACTCAATGATTATGACCTAAAGAAAATATGAATTTTTAATAGATTATTTGATTTGAGAAAATATTTTGTTACAAAAGAAAAGTTACCATAAACTAGTTTGATTATAATCTCAAGTGATAATTTAATAGATTATTTGATTTGAGAAAATATTTTGTTACAAAAGAAAAGTTACTATAAACTAGTTTGATTATAATTTCAAGTGATAATTTATGTAACAAATTAACCTAAACTAGGATATGAGAAGTACAAGATGAGAAATGAGAAAAGAAAAAAAGAATTGTAACAAGTACAATTGATAATTTCACTGCATGTCTTTATGTGTGAAATTCTTGCATTTTGCTTCAGCAAAATATAACTTTTATCAACTTGTTTGTTGTAAATAATCACAAGAATAGTAAAGAAAAAAAAAACAATTATTAAGACTTTTTTTTAATACTATAGGCTTATGTCAAATAAATTTGATAATGTTAGTAATTCTTATCATCAAAGATGTATAAGCCTAAAAACTACTTAAAAACTTGAAGAACTATTATTTCTTCTCTTATTATACGTGTTGTTTTCATCATTTCTCCTATCTCTTTTTGTTTTTCTTGAAGAACTACTAGAATTTCTATGAGCATGTGGAAAACAATTACGTGAATGATTTGTTGCATTATTCGTTAATTTCTTTTGAATATTTCTTATTACTTTTGTTTCTCGAACATTCTTTTAAATCTTTGTGTAAATCCTTCCATTTGTGAGGGAGGAGAAGCTCTCCCTGCTTAATCCTTCTTTACGAGACATTTTGCAAAACAATTAAATTTAATGTAATAAAAGGTTCTTTACACTCGTTAAGTGTTTTCACTCAATAGATGTCCACTCATGTTTCACTCAAAATTGGCTCTTGTTTAAAAATTTCTCTCTTGTTTTTTAACTACAATCAAGAGATGATCAATTCATAAGATACAAGTAAAGTCAATGAAAAAAAAACTCTAAGACAAAATTAAGAAAGCTAAAAAATAATAGAAAAAAAACTAAACAAGAAATAAGCACACTAAAAAATAAATGCAAATAAGACAAGAATAGAGAAATTGGAGAAAATTATGTAATGTTAATTAATAGCTAAGTTGTTCCTAAATTTGTTTAGGGTTTAGGGTTTCTTCTTCTTCTTTTCAAATAACAACAAAAAATATTTTAATTTTTAGAATTTTCAATCAATTATGAACAGTAATTAAATGTATTGCGATGAACATTACCTCCCTCATTTGATGACAATTAGGATCAGTGTTGTCAAATTAAAAGATTTTGAATTAGATTACATAAAACAAAAACAAAATTATTAGGGTAAAAATAGAAATTAAACAACAAGAAAAATAATAAAAGGAAAAATAAAATAGAAATAGAGGATGACACTACAATCACAAGATTGATAAATCAAAGAAACAATTGTTACAAGACTCCTGATCTCTTGATAAGATTAAGGAAATTGACTCACTCAAGAACCTAAAGTTACATGTTCTCACAAGAGTATTTAATCTCAAATTGCCTTCAAAATTAATTAAAAGTGTGTTTACATGAGTTTATATATGTCTAGTACTCATAGATAAACACTAACAAAAGCCCTAATGGGCTTCTTGTGCTAACAAGAATAAATCCAAAAATATAAAATTAAATAAAACAACAAGTTTTTATCTTAAATAAATGTTCAAAGTAAATCATGGATAAAATTAAAATAACTAAACTAAGTATAATAATTAAATCCTAATGAGACCCATTAGAGTCTAAGTTCTTTAAGCATATGTAATTGACTATCTCAGTTTCTTTTAAATATAAATTGAGTTTACTTTCAAACAGGACAACAATAATCTTCTCTAGGTTTTCCTTTATCCTCTTTACCATTACCTTTGTTATTGGTCATTAAAATCCTTCTAATTTTTTCAAGCCTTTGTCTTCAATAGGCTTTTTTTTTTATATCAGAATTTTTGATATATTTTTGGTTTGCTTGCTTTTAATGCAATCCATAAACTTATCCTAGTTAGATAAAACTAATAGATGTAAGGTTTCACTTTTTACTAACTTCAACATCCTTTCTTTGGATTTATGACCTAATCTTTGATGGTACAAAGTTTACTACTATTACTATATTTAACATAAAATAAAGATTCAACAAAATTGACACCAAGATTAAAATGATATAAACCATTAACTAAAGTACCAAAGCCATAATAATACAAATATTTAAAAAATTGTTAAATATTAAATTTAAAACCTACACCATCTAATTTTGAAACATAAACTAAACTCCTAAAACATACATGAATTTACTCTTTTTTTTAATTTAAATAACAACCATTATCTAATATCAAACTATATGTCCCTTTTTTTTCTATTTGTGCCTTCATTATGTTTTCCATATAGAAAAACTTCTTAGTTTCTCTTATGAGTTGGATTGAAAGGAATTCCTTTTTTTCAACCCAACTCTTTCTTTTAAAATAATCTTTTTTTGAAGTATCAAGCTTTCTTATAGAAAAGCACCTTTACTTCTTATGGATTTCACTTCCACGAACTTTCAGTGAAGCTTATCTTCTTCTTTTTTTTATCCTTATTACTCGACTTTATCTTGTTGCTACTAGCTTGATCATATAATGTGAAGTGGAGAAAATGATCTTTCATCTTTTTCAGCATCTTTTTCTCTTATACCAACACGCCTTAATTTCTTAAAAATTTTGTTTTTCTTAAAGATGTTATAATTCATCTAGAATTGGCCAAATTTAAGAAGAAGTGAGTTCACGGTAAATTGTATTAGAAAGCTCTCATTCACATTCTTATTCATTGACTTCAACTTTATTTTCATTGACTTCAACTTCATTGTTATGTTTATCATTCCCATCTCATGATAATGAATAGATTTAAACCAATCATACTTTTTTGTTGTCAACTTATTGAATGAATTTCTCAAAATGGTATTAATAAGGTCTAATTTATTATATTCCTTAATTTTTGTCATAAATTTCCTTAACTTTGTTTGTTTTAAGCATTGATGACTTAACATTTTTAGTTATTATCATTTGCATCAAGCTCAAATTCATCTTGTTAAACCACTCTCAAGCCTCACTAAGAGACTTGTAATCTTAAAGATTTTCTTAAGATTTTTTGAGACCAATCAACATAAAGATAAAATGAATTGAATCAAAATAAATACTTATATTCACACGACTAAAGATTTTCTTAAGTGTTATATATAAATATGATATTCTTTCTCAAATGTGTACTTATCTTTTATTATATTTTTTTTATCCTCGTAACTCTGTTGTTATTTAGCACTTATTGTTTTATTTCTTTTAAGATTAATTATTAAATATTTATAAATTTTCTAGTTACGTTTATTTATTTATTTATGTTAAATCTTAACCTTTTTAATTTATTTTATATTCAAATTATTTTTAAATTTTAATGAAGTTTGTTTGTCTCTTCAAAATTTAAAACTTATAATCTTACACATAATTCTTTTAAATTAATTAAACAAATTTCATTTATAATTTATTTTTTGGCTTTCAATTGTGCTTTTAATTTTTACTTAA